GTATGCATAAAGCCAGTATATATACAGGGGGGGGGGGCCAAAAAAAAGTCATTTTGCCTCCATGACTTTCAAGGCGCTATAAGTTACACTTTATTAAATTTTTATCGGACATTTTTACTACCATATTAAAGAGCACATTAAATACTATTAATGGCTAAATCGCCCACAGCCTTCTGGCAAGAAGGGGGGAGCCCCATGCGAGAGATTTAAGGACCGGGCACGGCCTCGCGCGCGCGGGCAGAGGGCGGGTGGCGCGCAGCGGCCACAACCAACGAGCGACGACCAGCGCGGGGCGGCGCGAACCGAGCCCGAGCGGAGTAGGAATATTTCTCCTTCCATTCCCTTTTTATTCCTGACAACAGAGCCATCTTCTTTTGTGAGATATTCAGGAGTAATGGTTTTGAGTCGAGTGTTGATGAATGTTCTTTTGATGCTCGTACATTTTTCAGCCGCTTCTCTTGCCTTACGTTGCGCATATTCACGATATTCTTTCTTCACTCTATAGCGCTTATAGCCTTGTTTAAATTAGTTCTTAGTCCACAGAGCTCATAGTTTTTCCCACATTCTTGCCGACGTGGCCAACATTCTGCGCTGTAGTAGTTACTTAATTCGTTCCCGAAGGTCTGCTTCGAAGCGCACTCTGAAGCATTTTGTTAACTACATCCCGCGATAGTAGAAATAATACATTAATTACATACATAGATACATACAAACATACAAACCGACACGCATAAATATTGTCATCTGCAGCCATTCATGCAACCTTAGCAGGTGGATTGCATGTTAATGACAAGTTAATCGCCCATCGTTGGTGTTGTGATGCAGGTAATAAAAACGGAATGTGTTCATCTACTGTGCAACACATATTCTGTACTTCCTATCTACTTCTAAGATCTACGTATAGAATGGGCGTTATGGCCGAAACCAGCACGCCTTCCGCAACTCTGAGGGGTGCAGATTTCGCTAGGTTACTCTGTCTATTTTGATTCGACCACTACCGCGCAATATGAGCAGCTCATACAATTAACTAATTCCATCCCGTTATGATGTGCGCCTGGCGAAGCCAGGCCAGCTCGGCGAAGCCGAGCTAAAAAGAAGGAGGAGAGCTCGGCGTCAGCCGTGCGATCCGACTGGTATTTCCATATTTCATCCGAGGCCACCGTCCATTTTCACAGTCGTGAATGACATTTTAGGAAAACGTTGCTGCCAGAGGCATCGGACCCTAATTCTTCGGATATATTTTTAATAACAAAGGTCAACAATGATGACACGTCAAGGAGGACTAAATGGATGACACAAGGGAAACACCTGGGGGGGGGGAAGGAGTGGAGGAATCGGTCCCTGTGCAAGCGAGTGTGGGGGAAAGTCTGTATCTGAGTCTCTGGCCTGTAATACTGGAAAGCTCCTTCGCGCTGCTTTTTAGTTCTCGGCTAATGCAGAGATTTCTGTTCATTTTCATTTTTTTAGCAGTACGGTTGGTTAACAGCCCCTATGCTGACACGCAGCTATGCCACACGCAGGCTAGCGAATCGTGAAGTAGGAAGAGCGCACGGCGACAACTGGGCGACCTGATCGGTAAGTGAATAAATTAGGTCATACCTGCTTATTGAGTACGTAGGAGACAAGTTTTGAATCAGAAGGACAAAACTGTGTGTCGAACACAAAGCCGCAAGATGTGCCCGAACCACTGGCAGTGCTTCCAATTGCTAGAGGAGAAAGGCTACCATCATACCTGAAAGAAGGGCAGTTCTGGCGCTGTCTAACCAGGGCAAGGAAGTATTATTAGCAATATTTGCATTACTAAATCCTCAAAAAATTCCAGAAGAGTCATGTATGCAGAAAAATGAGCCCTATGGAAAAGTAGTTTTTCCATTCCCAGGGCAACTTAGTGCTTCCCCGTGCCTTATCACCACACGTCAAAATGCGTAAAATCAGTGCCCAAAAACATATAACAAAACATAAACGCAACAGTTGCACGGTATTCATGCAACTTCGATTCAATAAAAGAGATAACAGATGAAAAAAAATATTAAAAAAGAAGCAGTATATCGGTTGATATCCTGCTAGGCAGACTCCATCATCACAGAAGCCTTCGGTCTTCATGGCGTCGACTCAACAAAGCTCCCGAGGGTGTCAATGAACACCCGATTCCATCCTAGAAGAGTGCGGAGCAAGCCCTCTTTGAGGAACGACTTCTCACTTATTTGAGGATCAAGACCTCCCATGGGTGCTCGATGGGGTTGTTTTACATTTTAACCGGTCGTTTCATCACTGAGATGTTAATCCTTAAGCGCAGCACTCAGTTGTTTAGTCATTTCGTCGTTCAACTGAGGTCACGTCTAGTGCTTTCGGAATTATTTTCCCTGACATACTTGTACTTCGAAGACAATATTTTTATGTACTATTTGAAGAAACCAGGTATGAACCCGAAATAAACATACAGCCCTTCAGCTTTTTCAGCTAAGCAGACCTCTACCTGTCCATGTGCTCAATAACGAAAAAAAGTCGTAGCTAAAGAAGCGCACCTGAAGGCTTGCTCTCCTGTTGTTAGCATTAACGTGGATCCATCTTTATCTACTGCATAGTCCGTGACTCCGCTTACCACAGTCGCCCGTTGTCGTTCACACATCAAAGAAAATTCCACGCTCGGGGTGGCTGCTCTGTGACAAATATCTAATCAAAGTGTGTGGTCTGGATCAGGATTGAGAGTAAGTGACTTCATATTGAAAAAAAAACGAAACCCGCTCAGCAGAGAATGTGAGTCGAAAATACTTCCCCATAGAAAACTTACTTAAACTGATCAGGGCTGAACATCGGCTCAAGAATGATGTTCGATGAACCATCATTCGCTGGAATTTCAGCAGAAAGTAGAGTTTGGTTCGTAGAACAAGCTGGCGTTCCCAAAGCATACCTTAAACAAACAAACACCTCGTGTGCCTCTCTGACATACTTGGTTTTCAGCCACATCTTCACTTCGAAAAACCTTCCAGGAAGAGCATACCGAATGCATATTGTCCCCCTGCGCGGGATGCGTTTTAACTTTGAAGTTCATACTCTGACAGGGCAGGCAAAACGTCTGAAGCAGCGCTATGAAAAGCCGCAATCGGAAACAATGAATGCTTTATTCTAATGATCGTGCTTTGTCTTACGACAATTAAAACAAGTGATAATTGACATTAGCGAGGTAGCTTTGACAATCAACTATCGATCCCTTGAAACAGATACCAGACATACTTTTCCAAAGCCGATGGATGCCCGACTGCGTGATTAGGTATGCCTACCCTCCTGTTCTCCCAGTCTACTTTCTCAATACACAAGCGACCGGCGCCGATCGATTCCCGTCTACGGCTACATTAGCGTCCATACCCTTGAGGCGCTATCGCAAGTGCGTTAAAGCGCATCATCGCGCATCGCGAAGTATGAACGCTGTCTAAGCTGTTAACTAGCTAGGAACCACTTTGATTGCGCGCAATGCGGCGACTAGAGTCTCGCCATGAATGGAAGTACTGCCATTCTGCTAATGAATGTGCCCCTTGGTACCGTATGAATTATAGTGTTTCTTTATAGTTGAACTGCACGGCTCGAGAACGACAAACGCGAAAGCGGAGCTAGGAAACGATATCGTTATCGCTCCCCTCAGTTTCCCACACCCTGCACTGCCATAGAAGAAAGCGCTCGGAAATGACGTCGTTCCTGATTACGCCCACCTCGCAGTCCTGAACATTGCCGCTAATCAGGAAAGGTCAGTTGTTCAGCCCGGCCACATACAATGAGCTTTACGCTGGTAGACGTGGCTCGAGCTCAAAACTTGCTCTCACAACTTTCAACTTGCTCTCAGAATATGCTGCACGATTGATGAAGAAACTTATCAAGATTTTTTTCCTTACTACGTTATCCCTCACACCTATCATTTTCATAAGAAGGGTTGGAGAGGTATCAGTGCAAGTTTATGGCGATCTAGCGGACAGGTACGTCGGATCGTGGAAAACGGTGGAAAGGGAAGAAAGAGAATTTGCCGGAGAATAGGCAAATGATGGAAGGCTGAAAACGAAGCCGTTTTTGTATTCTGGAGGGTTGGAGCCATTCTATTGTAAGGCTCTCAGGATCTCAGGAAACTTTGTCATGCAATTTCGGTTCTTAAGTTTATCAAAGGCGCTGATTTTGAATCTGGCTGACAATTTTGGCAGCAGCGGCATTTTGAGTGAGACTGGTAGCACCGCTTTGTTTCCTCAACAAAACTGTGCTGTCGTTAACTCTTCCCCCTTCTGTCGTTGTCCTCGAAGTTACGTCGGAGCACCTATTTGTCTGTGAACTTGCTTGCTCGTGTCTGGAGTAGTTGGACCTCCTCAACACGAATATCACATCTGCTCGGCAAGAAAGCCCCGGGAGTCCGCGCTGTACGAGGCGATGTCGACACAATCATGGGGTGCTGTCGCCCGTAACGCAGGCTCCCTGGCGGGCCGTGCGGACATGTTATTCGTGTTCAAAAGATTAAATAACCTATAAAAAACTAGGCAGGTTTTTAGAAGTTCGGAGAAAAAAGCCGGTCAAAAAAAACAGGCCTGATTTCGGAGGATTTGGGCAATAGTGGGTGTATAGCACCAAATTATCTTCGAGTAATGTTAGTTGTGGTGACTCTGGACAGGCTAGACATGGCTTGGTAGGGCTCTGCATATGCTAACTACTTATAATACGTGTTATATTCACATGATCAACCAAGCTGAGATCTTCAAAATGTCTCCTGGACGATAACCCTTCGAGGTTCTACAATTTGAACTTTCCCTGCGCCAGGTAAGACCGTGAATGGGCAAACAACTGAGTAGAATCACCTTCAAGATTCTTATTACATGTATTCAAGAGAAAGCAAAAGCAATCGCTTGTGGGGGTCGAGTCGAGCCCTCGACAACATTCCTATGCGCCGACGTATTCCTCCACCAGACCAACACTTCTCCAAGTTTTCAAGCAGAAATCATTATAGGAGATAAGAGGGATACAGCACGAGGGAAATTTTCATAACTACTTTCACGGAATCGTTTCGCAAATTCTAAAAGCATTTGAGCTTAGAGCCTCGAACCGCGTCCACCAGTATGCAGCTCACTGTAAGTGGCCGGAATTATCTCTTGACTTTTCCTGGTAAGAAGAACAGCCGCTGGCAAAAGTTCTGCAAAGTTCATGGAAGTCTTCACGAGTGCTTGAATTAATTTCCTGAAGATTTAGGGCAGAATTCTTATTGCAGGCATGTGCGTAGGTTCATTGAGGCGAGACTGGGTGGTCTCGTTGTAATTGAGATATAATATGGTATAGCGGATACCAGGTGGTCCGAACGAGTCTCGGTGGTGGCTGTGGTAGAAAGCTGGCCAAATCTAGGCGTGCCTCTCAATACAGGAGAGGTCACGCATCGAGTATCTAACTATTTACCTATGGGTCATAATCACATGTCTCAATGATTCCTATGGGTTATACATAACAATCAGCGAGTCGTAAAGATACAACATAGGTTCTGGTGGCAATCCAGAACAGCTACTGAAGCTGGCTGCAACAAGACTATTCATATGATATGGACTGCAACAGAAAACATTACATAAAAATTATCTAAAGAATCTCACAGTCTGCATCCGTTTTCCGTAGCAACAATAGACATCCTTGAGAACGGCAACGCAAGTGAAGAGCGTAATTCTGCTCTCAGTAATCTGGCATGCGCCATCAACTGATGCCAAGGCATGTTTGGTGTTGGTGACCTCTCCAGTGGTGGCATCTGAACAATTTGCTAACCGGCTACATTTAGAATGTATGCTGGTGCCTACAATTGGAAGGAACCATTCAACCTGTGGCACCATCGACACGGAAATTAGTGTCCAGCTGACAATAAAAGCTCCTGCTAGAAGTTATTTTTGCATCACCACATTATTTTTATATCAGAACCATACACATAGTTAGCGTGCATTATCACGAGTCTGGCTGTTTGGTTTGCTGTTATGTCGACTTCGAAGAAATGACGAACCTGTGGAGGAGGAAAAAATGAGGAAATGGAAGAACAGAATTCAATCATGACGTATACAATCCTTTTCTCCCACTCCACAGATTTCGCCGCTCCTTTGTGTAGGAACGCGGCCCAACGACAAGACGCTGATTTCAAAACGCAACTAATTCATTATTCTACTCAAAGGCTAAAAATTACCGTGCACTTCGCTGCGGACGGAGGGGCGGTTCAGGCAGTATGAAAGAACGTTCAGAATGCAGTCGAAAGCATGCGCATCGCATCGAACACGCGACCGAAGCGCTGCCGTCAGGGCACATCGTTGTTGGGGAATCCGCAAAAAAAAGGGAGGGGGGAAGGGTCGCATTTGGCCGCCAGGAGAGGGGGGTCGTACTTGTTCATTGTTGGGAGGGGGATCGTATTTAACCTTCTGGTCTTCCTAGGAGCGGTGGTTGACTTTTCGTGATTTTCCTGTTTCATGCGTACTATATCCCCCGCCCCTCGACGGCTCGATTCGATGGGGGGCAGCGCACCGGGAGGGGGGTTAGCTGTCGTACCGACCACACCCTTCCAAAAAAAGGGAGGGGTTCGTGCGGATTCGATTAAAATCCCCAACCAATGATGTGCCCTGGCTGCCGTCGCGAAGTTTGACCGTTGATTGAGCGTGCCGCGCCGATCAACCCCTTCTTTGCCAGTTGATAAACGCATACGAAAACGACTGGTAGAAAATGAGCGATACGAACGATATGACTCAGTCTTGTTACTTGCTTGCTTCAATAACGGCTGAAGGGACCTAGTACGGCGCCAAACTCATCCCGCCTAACACGCCCTTCACCAGCAGCGAACAAGGGGGTGTCGGTTCGCGCGATTACTTTGCTGCAGGCTATCAATACATGTCAAGGAAACCTTTTTTCAGGTATAACAATTCGTCAGAAGCTTCGAAGTATTGCAGTTGAATTATCATGCGGAACATGAATAAGATGCAGAAAAGCCGGAGCCAACACTCACGGCTTCATGTAGCATGCCAATCAGGGAAAATTATGGATCAGTGATTCGAACGAATTATCAACTTCGTAAGTGCGTACTATATCACCAGTCATGACATGTCAACGACAAGGTGGTCGCGTCAAACGACCGCCTCCCCCGAACGACTGTGGTCTCGCGCACGCCGCGCGCTATCTCCTGTACATAGCGACAAAAAGTCCACTTGAGATTTTCTAGTTGGTTACCTCTTCTAGGTACTTTGCCAGGGACGCTGTTCGAAACAAATTCCGGGGCCAAACCAATCTAGCGGGCCATTTCGTAATATCTCTCAAACGTACCAAGCACTTTCCGGCAGTCCTGTCCCCTTTAAGCAACGTAATCTTCTATTTTCATGCCATTTATTTTTTCCAACACTGAACAGCATAAACTGCTGGAGGGTGCCGAAATGGTTGTGGTCCGCTGGGATGAATATTTTTTCCTGAGCTTGGTGAGCACCTCCGGGTTGGGTGAACCTATTCCTTCGAAAACAGTTCTCACATTTTCCGAGGAGTGGTTCAGTTATCATGGATTCTCAGCAGAACTTTGCAAAATGACCAAATGAATCAAATAGCGCCCGAACTTCCAGCAGTTTATCAACAATGACCGCCTTTCAAGTGTTTTTATATGTGTTTTTATCACAAATGCGGAGGTTTCCCTTCCCAAATCCCTCTACCAGATGATGTCAGTATGAAATTTCTTGGGCGCAAAATGTCTACTTTCTCTGTAATAGTCCTAGCCTCCCTTTGACAAAGGTGACAGAGCGCCGATGGCGATAGCCCCACATGGCTTACTCCGCGGACTTCCTTCTTTCACCTACCATCGCTCAGAGCTCTAATAATATTTACTAGAACAACAGCTCGGTGATAATGATCGTCTCTTAAAAGAGGTAATCAATTTCTTCTACCTCGATCTCGAACTTCGTGAGAAGTTGGATAAGCAAAACTCCCATGAAAGGCGATGGCCATCGGCAGCAATTGGGATTATTTCGCCTAATCAAGTTGTATGTTATTAAGAAAACGCCGTCCTCAAAAATGTGCCGCTAGCGATGCAGAACCTTCTGTTCACCATACTATCACATCATATTTAATACATGTAGGAAGGAGGTCACGACCTTCTCAGATGTAAGTAACTCAGCGGAGCAGCTTCATTTATTAATGATCAGTTATTGTAATAGAAAGACGGAGGAGCGAACTCCTCGTCACGTTCATCTCGTTGCTTCTGAATCCAGGTGTTGTATGTGCCTTTACCACGGTCCCATTCTCGCACCACTTTTCTTTCGTTCTTCTGAAATATTCACACGTGAGATTTTGAATGAGGCCCTTTGCCTTAATCAAAAGTATTATATAATGAATGGTTTGCTGAGACTGAAAGGTGCGAGGAATCAGCAAACTATACTAATGCAAATCAAAGAGGAGAAAAGTAGATATGAATATCATTTACCTTTGCTTTCTCGTCAACATTTGCTTTCTCATCAACAGGAAGTGGAATCTCGCCGACGTCGACATCGATTTCGTCCAGATTTACTTCAAGAGGTGTTGTTTCCTCTGCAACAGCACAATACGAACTTCTGTGAAAACTGCCAATGAAGCATACACGAAAGTTATGGTCGCATCCAGTATGATGAAGAGTTGTAACCAGTTTCTTCAGCTATGCTGTATTCAGACACATCGCGTTAAAAATACATGGAGAATGAATCTTACAAAATTAAAGGAGGCTGGGGTCAGTCAAGCTGGGTGGCATCAAGAGCTGAATAGACTACACGGTCACAAGCATATTCGACATTATTAGTTTACTTCCACAACATCGTGGTGAACCGTATCCTTAATCACGAGCCCTGGGAGTCTCATATCAACGCTTTCTGCACCGGAACGACTTGAAATGGTTGCAAGGGGGTGTCAGGTAACTGACACACAAGTAAGTGCTTCCATCCAACCAGAAATGTAGTAACAATCAGTTAGAAATGATGGAAGCATGGGTGTGGGCAGCCCGCACGAGCCCCGTCTGAAACTTCAACTGGGACAGTGGATATCGTAGAGAATTCACCGTTCCCGTAGGGACTAGTCAGCCCAAGCCGGAGCCGATCCGATCACTGACTCCCGTACCGCGCATGAGGTATGAGATGGCCGCCACAGCACCACTAATCCTGCTTTATATCCAATTCGATGCCCAGAAACAAATTGATATTCTTCAAGTATCAAACCTGGCAGTCCTTTTCTTCTTCGCAAAGCATTAATTTTCTCTCGCCTTGCATGCGCCTTCCGTTCAGCTTCTGCTCTATTTTTAGCTCGCATTTTTTCTGTTTCTGCTGTCATGGCGTATAGTGAGCTGATTTCAGCCTGGCGCTTTTCCTCATCCGATGAGAATTTCATATGCGAGGGCCCATACACCCTTCTTTCTGAAGAATTAACTACAAACAATGCCGCTATTGGAGATGCAATTTTAACGATTACCTTCATCGGGAGCATAGTGCTCAATGAGTGGGGCAGACTGTTCAGATGAAGAAGACGTCGAAGGTTGGGGCAAAGAATGATTGACCTCCGCTAACCGATTTTCTTGCCTTTCTTTTACTTTGGCATTGAAATCAACTAGGAATCCTACATCGAGTCCATCGGTTGTTTGCAGTGATATCCCACCTTCAGAGAGCTTCTCATAAAGATCAGATTTCTCCTGAAGAACAGAAACTGAAAGTGAGTGAGATTTCTTCGAATAACAACAAACGTAATCTTCAAAGGTAAAAAAAAACAGAAATCGCATTTGAATATGCAGGCAATAAAGCGCAGTTACCTGAGTATCTATTTACGAATTATTTCCTTTCTTTATTTTCTCTACCAATCAACTGACCAGAGTGAGCTCCTGATTTAACATCATACCCGGATTCATGATCAAGGATCATCTTCACCGAATGGGAGTAGAATGCGTGCCGCATCCCAAGAAGGAATTCACCGAGTCGTCAATGAATCCCTTCTTGGGATGCGGCACGCATTCTATTATACTTCCATTCAGAACCGTAAAGGCACATCCAATGTAACAATGCTTCTAAAGTGGCTTGCGGGGCCAGCGGTTTCACGAGTCACAATACTTCCCGCCTAAACAAACTTGGTACCAATTTACCGTCCTGGAGGGTAGAAGGCTGAATAGAAGCTCGATACGAGTTTTGATTGCCGGACCGCGCGCGTGATAAGCGTGCCACTTGCCACTTCACAATCTCCGCCTCAGATTTACGTGGTAGGTATAATAGGGGACAGGAAGTGATAACGACGGAGAAAAGGGACACAAGGGGCTTCTGAAGGTGAGTACCACCAAACTCATAACGCGCGTCACAACAACAGATGAAAGTTGGTTTCAAGTGGTAGTGTAGGGGAGAGAACGGTGACTAGAAACGGTTTGCTGCATGCTGTAGAGATCTAAACATCTACAAAAATAGGTTTCGTTTTTGCCGTGAATGCCAAAGATGAGTGCAAAAATTGCAAAGAAAAAGCGATATAAGCCACTTTGTTGAGCTTTGTTTAATAGTGACGTTGAATATGCATAACGAGTACGCGCCCTCACGCTAAGGTCGCTCCCGCAGACTGGAACTGGTCTCGGACACTTTCGAGCCTCCGTGCGGGTCTTCGATGGTTCGGTACAGCAGCAGAGCGTTCAGGATTGGTCTTCACGGTTCAACCGGAGTCCATTCTCGACACACATCCTGCCACCGATGCTCCACTTGTCCTGGGTCTCCCTATTGTCAGCTATCAGGCGGAATGTGTCAGCGAGGCGGCTGTTCTCAGTGGTCCATGCTATGAGTTGTTTTTTGCCTGAGTTAGATCAGGAAGGAGAGAGGAACGGGCTGAGGGCTGATCCTTGTGCCCAACCGGATTTACCTCCTATTGCCAGCCGTGATGCGACAGCGCTTAGCCGTATCGACATATCCTTCCTATGAGCCTAGGTGCGTTGGAATGTATGTCTCTCGCGCTCTCCAGAGTACAGCCGAGGCCGCGTGAAGCCTTCCGAAGTCGCAGGAAGGCTAGGGCAGGGATCGCCGCTCTCTCGGTAATTTTCTCATGAGGCAGCTGCTCTGGCGGAAGATGGATCAGTGTAGGGTCTTTCGGCAGAGGCCGACATGATCTGCGAGATAGAGAGCAATTCCCCTCCAAGCCTAGTGTGACCAGCGTATAGCTCATGGTGATGGGGGTCAACTGATGGCCGCCTGTAGGTTGGAGCACGTTCCCGCGTCCCTGTTCTGTTTGAAGAGGGACGATTGTGCTGCTCTCCACCATCTGGTCTTTACTGTCAGGAGGAATTCTTTTAGCAACTCATCCCGCCTCCCGATCGTATGTGACTCTGGACCGAACTGTTTCCCACTTCTCCCTACTCCCGGGGGACCTTCATTCCTTGTCAGGGGTGATGGGACCTGCGCGCGTCTATCTGTGGCATCCTGCGAGGGCATCTTCATCAGATCGCCAAGTATTTGCCTTCTCTGACTTCGGTCGGTTTCAGGATGGCCCGTTGCGTTAACGTCATTACGCCTGATTCCGAGGGCGCGAATGCCAGCTTGTACAGCGGGAAAAGATAAGGAGGTTAGGGTGAAAAAGAGGCGGCGTGTTCGGGAGAAATGGAAAGAAAAAATGTACTAAAATAAAATAAAGTGGCACAACTTAATGACTGAATAGAGATAACTTAGGAAACAAATGGTCTGACAACACTGAACTTAACAACCAAATGAAAAAGCAAGATGATTAAGAGGCTTGCTAGCCAAGAAGGGCCACTTCGCTGTTTCGTGTGTTGGGTGCTTAAAGGACCAAGGTTATTTGTATTATATAAGAAGCATCAGGAGCATCGCATATCATATATGAAGTATCAGAGGCATCGCATACCACAAGCCCGGATGTATCGCCCACTGCATCTGTCGGCTAAGATGCCCAGTCGCCACTCACGGGGTCATAGGAACTTGCCGAGACTCCGACACACGGGTACACCGACTTCCCTCGTGGAAACGGCAAGTTAGTTGAGCATACATCCAGACCACAGGTGTGCGTTGAGTCGAAGGGAGACTTTTTTATACTCAGCCACTAACAGGGGATATGGCCATTTCTTAGTATTGATCCTTCATGGCAGGATTTTGTAGTGTCACTTCTGTGCTGGTAAGCCTGAGGGGGTACATCAAGAGACAGTAAGAAGGGCAGCAGAGACAATATAAACGCACAAGACAGGACATTCATTGTACAGGACACGAGCTTGCGTGCCGACAGCTAAAGCACATCTTCAAGGCCTATAATATGCATAAAATCCATCTTGGTCAGAGCACTCTTGAACTGCGCCGAAGTCGTACTGGAAAGAAGATCAAGGGGGAGTCGATCCAACCACTTGGACGTCCTGCAAAAAAAGTCATGTTCGCCACTAGATCTCCTGAGACAAGCTATCTTGGGAGCAATACTGAAAGAACCACCGCATCGGCCATGTATGGGCCTGAACTTCCAGTAATTGGAGGCCCGCAAGCAAGTCTCTCCTCTGAGGATTTTGTACGCCAGAATCAAATCAGCCTGAACTCTTTCTGCAAAATAAAGTTTTCAAGTTTAATTTATCGAGACGAGCTTTGTATGAGGGTAGCGATAGTGGATAATTTGGGTCGGGGAAGACACGATAGAAAAGAATGCGAGTGAAAATCCTTTGAATACTCTCAATTTTATTTATATCTTTCTTGAAAACGGACTCCATACGGGAGAACAATATTCCAAGATGGGCAGAACAAAAGTCTTATATAACCTAATCCAGGCTTTGAAATCAGTGCAATGAATGTTACGAAACAGACAATAGATAACTTTCAAAGCTTTCTTGTGAATGCTATCGATATGTAGCTTCCATTTAAGGTTTTTGGTGACCATCACTCCAAGGTCTTTAATAGAATCACAGCTGGACATTCCAGGAAAACAAAGTTTTTGCTCCTCGCTCGAGTAGGAAAGAGAAAGCACTTGAGACTTAGCCAGGTTGAGGCTGAGATTCCATGAACCTGCCCATGCTGTCATATTTTCCAGTGATTTCAACAACGCGGTATGAACGGTCTGTTTTTCAAGGGGTGGGTAAGTCGCAAACACTTTAATGTCATCCGCATAGGCAGCAACTTCAATGCTGGGCTGGGTTTTAAGGTGTCCCAAAAGATCGCTAGTGTATATGAGGAACAGCAAAGGGGAGAGAATACCACCTTGCGGTACTCATGAGACGCACCTTCTAGACCGCGATGAGTAATCACCGACCCGGACAATCATTCTGCGGTGATCAAGATAGGAAGTTAAGACAGAATTTACCACGCCCTCACTACCTACGTACTTTCAAGTTTAAGAAGTAACCTAGAGTGGCTAACAGTATCAAACGCTCTACTAAACCAAAATAAATTATGTCCACATTGCAACCAGAATTGAACGCAGACCACCACTTATGGGTGCAATGAACTAATTTAAGGCTTCCTTGGCTACGAAAACTTTCAGCAATTTTGACTACATCAGTTGAGAGGGCGCTGACCTACTCTATTCGGAGCATTCTCAGTTCTGGGAGGAGGAGAATGCTTGGGTGGAGCGCTGTAGTGGCTAACTACGACGAGCATATTGTTGAGTAATTCCCACTGTATAACTTCATGTATATATATAATATATATATATATATATATATATATATATATATATATATATATATATATATATATATATATATATATATATATATATATATATATATATATATATATATATATATATATATATATATATATATATATATATATATATATATATATATATATATATATATGTTAACG